TGCTGAGTAGTCACTGCAGGCTTTCATTTCACAAACAATAGCTACACAATCTTTTCTTGACAACATCCTCTTATCAACTGAAGTGAAAAAAAATAGATACTAAAGAAAATTTAGAGCTTGAAGTGCCTCAGTACTACCATATGTTGACAATTTAAAATACAAGTGGCATTACTTTTAATTCAATGCTTGTGCCTATGTGTACATAAATTGTAACAAAAAAAAGGAATAACCACACACACAAAAAGAGAAAAGAGGCAAAAATGAAAAAGCACAAAGCAGTTGTTTAAAAGCACCATAGTATGAGGTTAAAATTAAGTTTATAAAATAATGACCTTTCAAAATCTCAAATTATTCTTAAAATTAATATGTGCTTATGAATAACAAAAGCAATAGCACATAAACATGAGATTAAAAATTAAATGTTGCATGACAAGCAAAAAAATAAATTTTGGATATGATACAAACTATATATAAACCCTGTCATGCCTAAGACAGATTCCCTGAATTAAATTGTTGATCTTGCTTGCTTTTGGTTTACTTTCACTTGGAAGACCAACATCATCTCTTGTGGACAAATTCTTAATACCACTTGGAATAACCAAAACTAATCTGAATCTTGGATATAAACAATTAGAATGATGGATCTAAAATTCAATCTGTCTCAAGGACCTCTTTCATCATCCTACAATCAATTACAATCACAATAGAGCTGGAAGGTACCATGAAGATCTTCTAGTCCAAATGCCCCCCTCCCCAAAGCAGGAGACCCTATCCCATTTCAAACCAGTGACTGTCCAGTCTCTTCTTAAAAACCTTCTGTGATGAAGCACTCTCAACATTTGACAGCAAGTTGTTCCACTGGTTAATTATCCTCACTGTCAGACAGTTTCTCCTTAATTCCATGTTGCTTCTCTCCTTGATTAGTTTCCATCGTTTCTTGTCCTACCCTCTGGTGTTTTGAAAAATAAGTTGACCCCCCCCCCTCTCAAATACTGGAATACTATCATGTGCCTCCTAGTCCTTCTTTTTTCTAGACTAGCCAAACCCAAATCCTGCAACTATTCTTCATATGCTTAGTCTCCAGGCTTTTAATCATCGTTGCTCTTCTTTGCACTTTTTCCAAAATCTCAACAACTTTTTTGTAATATAATAACGAAAACTCGATTGTAGTATTCCAGGTGTGGCCTTAATAAGGCTTTATAAAGCAGTACTAATACTTCACATGATTTTGATTCTATGCCTGTTTATACAACCAAGGATTGTATTAGCTTTTTTGGCTGCTGCTGTAAACTGCTGGCTCATATTTAAGTGATTGTCCACTAGGACTCCAAGGTCCCTCTCACAGTTACAGTTTTTAAGCCATGTTTCATCTAAACTGTACTTATACCTTTGGTTTATCCTGCCTAAGTGTAAAACCTTGCTTTTCTCTACATTCTTCTCTACAGAATTACTTCTGATAAAGCCAGAATAGAATTCACGTGTACAAGATTTTATGTCTTACACTCAAATGTTGATGAAGGAGAGATATAACATCATCACTTATGTGGAATGTTTGTATGGTTGTTTTATTTCTGTAGTCATAGCAGGAGGGGATGTTTTACTTCACTGATCTTTCTATCACATCTCATAACCAAACTGTGTGGACTGGTTTGAAACTAACATTATTTTCATTTTATCTGCTGACTTTTCTGAAATTAACAGAAATGTAATCAAGTTTTGTTCATTTGCATTTGCTGTAGAATATCCAGGTTTGATTTTTACCTTGGTGATGACATTAATTTCCATATAGCATGTGTGTGATTATCACTTTGATACTATTACAAGCAGCCCATATTCCTAATCATTTAATCAAGCTTTTAAATACAGCTTTATGTGGGAAAGTAACATTTCAACTTATCATGTAGTGTTCCCTATAGCAATGGTCCCCAACCTTTGTGTCTCTGCAGACAGGCAGTGACAGCAGGAGGAGATCGGATGGTTTCGCATGTGTGCCCAATGCTTACGCAAATAAAGGTTCACACATTCACACACCAATTGCACAGCTTGGTTCCCAATGGGTCACGGACTGGTACCGGGCTACAGACCAGGGGTTGGGGATCCCTGCCTTATAGGACAAATAAGTACATTAAAGCAATATGGAAAAGGGAAATATACAAAAATATATTTGAATGTTGGGGGTACTAAACTCCCTTATTTCAAAGGGTATATTCTTAAGAATTATTCAGAACACTGGAGGCCTGAACAGAACTTCCATATGTGACTCATTAATGCAGCCACATTTTTTTTCAGTTTTACCAGACTGCTGTGTAGATATTTCTGCTTCAGCCATAAATAATAGAAAACAGCTTTATAGCTGTTATAGTGCATCTGCAACAGGTGTGCTGTGTTCACTTTCCCACATTCTGCAACACTTTTCCCCCATTAAATCTAAAGCATTGCATAATCATAGTAGCTGTCATAACATTAAAATTAGCAAGAAGTGAGGGCAAAAGGCATTTAGTGCATTTGAATATGGAGTGAGTAGAGGCACACGAAAGGAAATCTAATTTCATACAGTGTGTAACTAAATGATGGCATTCCCTAACACAAGATGGAGAATTGCCAGCTTGGAAGAAAATTAGAAAAATTTATCAAGGACACCCAATCTGTGACTACTTAAGTTATACTCCAGCTACAGTGTCTCTGGCAGCAGTCAGTATATCTCTTGATATACTGATAGTTTGACGTAACAGTTACTATAAAATATAATTAGAATTTTCCTGTACCAATTACTCATAAAAATCTGGTGGTCCACTGTGGGTTCAGAACATGTGACATTGGTCTGATTGGGCATCATCCTTAAAGATGATATATTTTATTACCAGCTGGAACGTTTCTTTATATAATTCTTGCTGAGCAATTTGATAAGCTCTCTACATAGTCATGATATTTTATTGACTTTACATCAGAAAATGTAGGTTCACCAAGGAGTTCTTGCCTTTAAAATGACAGGCTCTATACTGTTGATCTCAGAGCTTGAAACAAGATTCCCATCTGTTTATTTTCACAGTGAGTCATTTGTGTTCATTTGTATAAACATACATTTACTGCCTATTTAGATTTCTACAAAGGTGCAGGAGGAGAGTTGAGGGCTAGGAGGCCATAAGCACAAGCCTATTAGCAGCACCCATTGGAGCTGTCAACAAGCAGAACTGGGATGCCCAGAGCTCAACTAATAAGCACCAAAAATGGCAATGGGATTAAATAAGTAATAATGCTGCCATGCTGACCGCACTCTTCCAAATATTTTACACTGATCATTAATTTGCTTTTGTATTATCTGCTGCTTTGTAACACCAGGCTATGAAAAAAAACACCATTTCACATATGAAATGTTCAATCAGTGGTCAACTGGTTCTACTATCTTGGAAAATACTATAAAGATCACAGCTGAGTAGAAACAAAATGTTTTGTATCTAAGCCAGGGATGTAAACCTCATGTCATTACATTGTAATCACGTGATGTATCATGACTTTTCCTCCCTTTGCTAAAACGGGGACGGGGTGGCCAGCATGTGACGCATCCGGCCTGTGGGCCACAAGTTGATCTAACCAGTCCCAATTCTTATTTTTTTATTTCAAGTGGAAGGATTTAGCAGGGTTTTTTAAATTGGTTATGAAGTGGGTTATGTTGGCTAAGATTTTTTAAAAAACCAGAAGCAACAATATTCTTATGAGACTAGCTGAAGGTTTCCAAAATTGTTGCAAGATTTCAAGAACTATTTATCTGATAATTACTATGTGGGGCTAGAAGGAGTAGAAAGGTTAAAGCACGGGTGCCAAACTCGCAGCATCATGTTGCTGTCATGTAACGTTTCACGTTTTCCTCATTTGCGGAGCTGGGTGGGTGTGGCCTGAGTGTGACCCATCCAGCCCACAGACCATCAGTTTGACGCCCCTGGGTTAAAGGAAGAATGTTCCTGGTGTGTAAGTCCTGAAGAAACAAAGATTTTTGGAAATTGAAAAGCTGGCAATGCAAGGCAACTTTTTGTTGGTCTGAAGGCAAGACTAATCCAGACCATTTTTTAAAGCATGCTTTATAAAGCACAAAGCAAGTCTCCAAGTCACACCTTTGCTGTGTAATTATGTATGGAATTTCCATGACCAAATCGCAACCCTGCTCGATGTCATGCACTCAAAGCCACAGCACTAACGCTAGTTTCTGAGCAGTGTTTCTAAGAGCAGGTGCATGGTAAACAGTCCTACTGACTTTCCAAAATACACCAGAACATTCATTGTTGAAAACAATTTGGCTGATTTTCTACCCAAAGGATAATACAGGGATTGCTATTTTGTTGTTTCAATTGTTTCAACAAAAGTCAAAATTAGATTTAGGAGGAGAAAAGGGTGGATAAAATATCCAGATCCAGCAATGAAAAAAAAAGTCAATTCATTTCTAATATATCCCAGAGTTCAAACGTGAAATCCTGGCTTATCTACCATAAACTACATAACATTTACTGAAAAACAAAAGTGAGAGTTGGACTGAAAGATGAGCAAAAATAAAACCAGTCTCAGTAATATAACGCTATTAATAATTGTGCTTTCCTTGCAGGGAAGCCAATCTTATGAGGTAGACCTTGGATTTTCGTTGTGTGAATGTGTTTATTAGCCATTGATTCTGAGGTGACTGTGATTGTGTTCTAAGAGGTACAAATCTGTTTGTACACAATATTTGTAGATGACAGGATTTTTAAGCATTTATTGACTTTCTGGCAGCCAGAACATTGCCTTCAGTTTCCAAACAGGGGATATATTTTAGAGTGTGTGAAAGGAAGTGTGCTTTTGTGAAAGGAAGAGGTGTACATTGTTACGTGTTATGCACACACATGCCTATTCTGCCTTGAATTGTAGTAGAAAGCTCTAATTTGTGATCAGTTCCTTTTCACATCGACAATTCATTGCATGGAAGCTATCATTGCACGTAAGAAACACACTGTTGAAGTAGCATAAGCTCATAGAATGTTGCAGTCTGGAAAAAGACAAAAAAAGAAGGTATATTTCAATTATTTAAATACTCTCTCCTGAAAGCAAAGGATCTTTCAAATTCCATTCTTCAGATGGACTCTGAATTAAATACTTCCCGTAGGTAACTACCACAATTCATCATAGCTTGCTGGTCGATCTTTAAACCAAATCGGATCTATAAAAATCAGCTACATTTTTACTCCCTTTGTGTTCATCCTTGTTATATTGCATCTGTTTAAAAAAAAAGGAAAGGAAAGGAAAAGAATAGGCCTGGTCAGGCAAACAAAGATTCAATTTTTTCAAGCAGGACCAAGTAAAATTCTCCTGCAATTTGTCCAAGTGTTTATTAATAGGAAAATCAAATAATAATCAAATATTTGGTGGCTTCATCAAACATGGATACCTTTATAACAGCATTTTAATGACTATGTTTCTGGACAGCTATTAACATTTCCTTTAAAATTAAATGAGAATTTTGTTGCCCTTTATTCCGTACAACCTTTTAAAAAGACTGAATGATGCTGCCATCTACTGGAAAGTTCTACTGTAAATTTATTATTCAAAGATTAAAAATACAGGAGTGCATTCTTTTATATCACATCACATATAAATGTTTTTAATAAAATTTAAATTAAAACATTTAAATAAAAACATAGTATATAATAATACTGAATCTCAAAAAAAAATAGGATTGGTCCAAAAATCCTATTTCACTTTCTCATTGAAAGTGATGTTCAAAGCAAAATGAAGAGATTCGTTTTCAGATGAAATATCAGAGGAATGTCAAAAAGAGACTAAAGACTTTGGTGCTTTGAGGTGAAATTGGAGATTCCTTTTCAAGCAAAATGCCTGTTTGAACTCTGAAGGTAGCAATAGATATTTATAGTTCAATTGCTTGTACGTCTACTCTAAAGTAAATCCCATGGAGTTCAATAGGACTGCTTACCGACCATCACAGTTAGATTTCATGACTACTGACAACACCCTGAGGGATTTGGGATATCACTACCTGGAACAAGGAATGAAATTTACATTGGAAATAAATGCAAACATCATCTGTGAAAAGTATGTGTCCTTCACACACATGGTGAAATTCTTAGCTTGCATAATATACCATTGTTGATCTCATCAAGAACACTTTATAGGACAAACATAGCAGGCAAAATTCGTTTTCTTTTTTTTTCTTTTAGCTGGGCTGCTTAACTGAATAAAGCTCACATTTCTGTGTCAATCGGGAATTGATTCTGAATGAATCAAATCAGCCAACATGCCCACTGTCGGCATATTTTCATGATAATTTAGAAATCTCTCAGGGGACTGATAACACAAAGGAGATATTCTCACATCGTCTGTGTTTTTTTAGAGAAGAAAGAAGGGGCAAAAAGAATACAATGGATTTCAGACATGACAGTAATCATCAGGCTTGACTGAAGTAAACATGATGGGGCTTACATTGTTTGCCATATAATCTCCTCCTCCTTCTCCTCTTAAATGTATCATTAGGATCCAGTGACGTGCGGTGAGGTTTATGGTTGGTGAGGCAGTCAGCTCCCCCAACATCCCACTGTCTACAGTGCTTTCTTTCTTTTGCCCGCCTGAGCTCTGACAGGCGGGCGAAAGAAAGAAAGCGCTTTAGACAGCCTGAGCATTTTCTCCTCTCCCCCGGCACCCCACTGTCTAAAGCACTTTCTTTCTTTTGCCCGCCTGAACTCTGACAGGTGGGCGAAAGAAAGAAAGCGCTTTAGATTGCTGCCGCTTTCTTTCCCCTGCCTGAGCTGGCAGGCTGTTGCTTTCTTTCCCCCGCCTCTTTGTCCGCAGCAGCACGCCAGCAGAGGCGGGTCTGTTGCCCGCCTCTGCTGGCGGGCTGCCGCTTTCTTTTGCCCACCTCTGTGTCCGCAGCAGCCAATTAATTTTGAATTCCTCTCCCTCCCTCCGACCCACACCTACCTTTTCCAGCTGTTTCACAGAGGATTTCAACTCTGCTCTTGCCTGCCATCATGAAAATGTAAAATTGTAAAAGGAAAAAGGCAAAATCTGAGGTCAGGCAGGGGTAGCTGCTGCCAGAGTTGCCATGGATGACTCTGCTTAAATGTTTAAAAAAGCCTCTAAAAAACCGCCCTTTACAGGAGGAGGCAAGAGAACCACGTGCCTCATCTACATCAGGAATCTTTCGACTTTTAACCCTTGCTTAACTCTGCTCGAGTGATCATAAAGTCAGAGTAGATGAGGCACATGGTTCTCCTGCCTCCTCCTGTAGAGGGTGTTTTTTAGAGACTTTTTTAAAGAGTTAAGCACTAAGCAGAGTCATCCACTGTGTCTCTGGCAGCAACTAGCCTAGCCTGACCTCAGCTCTTGCCTTTTTCCTTTTACATTTTTACATTTTCATGATGGCAGGCAAGAGCAGAGTTGAAATCCTCTGTGAAACAGCTGGAAAAGAAAAGGTACGTGTGCGTGTGGGTTGGAGGAAGGGGGAGGAATTCAAAA